GTGTGTGTGTGAATGAGTGTGTGTGTGTGTGTGTGTGTGTGTGTGTGTGTGCGCGCGCGCGTGTGTGTGTGTGTGTAGATGATGTCTGAAAGGGGCGGGGCTACCGGCGTCATGCATGGTTCATGCATGACGCATGCGCCCTTCGATCGACCCGCCACACCCCGCCAAGTAACACTGCGCGGAGGGCCCCATGTCCCCGCCACCCTGGCTCACGCTGCACTCCAGCCAAAGCTCGTTGAAAGCGCCGGGCCCTTTGGCCTGCGCCCGCGCCAGGCGGCCCGTGCTGAGCAGCACCTGCACGGCCTTCTCAATTGGAACAGCATGGTCGCGCGGGACGCCCTCCGGCTGGCGCGCGTCAAAGCAGCGCTCCGCTGCGGCGATGAGCGGCGGTGGCGCGGCCTGCAGCTGCTGGGCCTGAGCAAGTTTCAAATGATGGGCGCTGGAGATGTTGATTTTCTTCTTCATCGTTCTGGCTGCCTAATTGCGGGCTCAGCCGCTCTCGAGCAAATGCGACATTTGGCGCATTCCTCCGTAGCAATCACGGCTGCAAGTGTAAATGATTATCACGTGTCACCAATTACAACACGCCTCTTCATTGTCAACAATACCGTTGTCACCCGAGATCAACGATCTGCTGCACCCCTGCGGTACGAACTCTGTGAGACTGCACGCGCACTTCCTACACCTGTTATTTGTACTGTAGCTCATTGTTTTCAGCTGTACAGCCCGCGGCCATGCTCGCGGGCGGCCGCAAGGCTGCGGAGCGCCCGCTGATCGTGCTGGTCGGAAGCAGCAACCCAGTCAAGATCGCCGCCGTCGCCGCGGCCGTCCGCGCGTGCGGCCTCGCGCCCGCGACGCGCCCGCTCGAGGTCCGCGGCGTGCCGTCCTTGTCCGGCGTGAGCGACCAGCCGGTGGGTGATGACGAGACGCTGCGCGGGGCCGTCAACAGAGTCTTGCACATGCAGGCGTCTCATCAGCCATGCAGCGGCAGCAGCGGCGGCGGTGTCGGCGGCGGTGTCGGCGGCGGCGGCGGCGTAGAGTCAGAAAGTGGCGCCGGAGGGCCGCACCTGCTGGTGGCGATAGAGGGTGGCGTGCTGTGGCGGCCGGCCGGGTATGGCAACCCAGGCGGCGGCGGCGGCAGCGGAAGTGGGAGTCACCAAGGCGTTGGGGAGCTGTATTGCATGGCGTGGTGCGCCGCCAAGTCGCCGCTCTCAGGTGCGCGCCGCCGCCGCCCGCCACGTCGCCGCGGGCGGCTGCGTCCCTGGAGCCTGCTGGCGGCAGGGGCGGGTCGCGATCGCCGCTCGCGCACCCCCAGCTGATCATACGCATGGCTGCCGAGTCGCCAAGGCGGGCCGGCCGGCTGCCGGCGCGCCTTGCCGTGCTGCTGGTCCCCACAGAGAGGGATCGCACTCCTCCCCTCCCCCTACCCGCCCTCAATCCCAGGCACGATCAGTAAGGCGCGCTCGGCCGAGTTCCAGCTGCCGCCCGCGCTGGCCGCATTAGTCAACGAGGGCTTGGAGCTCGGCGCGGCAGACGACAAGGTGGGCACCCGCCGCCTGCCGCGCCTGCAGAGACACAAGATACAACCGTCGGCGGACCGCCGCTTGTTGAGCAAGCACGCCGCAAAGAGACGCGTGCGCGCGCCGCATGGCGGTTGCTGCTGCACGCAGGCCTGCGGCGCAGTGCCTGCCTGGCACCGCTTCCTCTGATGAAGTCGTATGCATGGAGTGAGTGGACATCCCACACCCTTCCTTCCCAAGTGTGCATGGGGCTGAGCAGCAGGGGGCCAGCTGGGCCCACCGCCATGACTGCTGCACCGAAGCGGCCGGTTAACTCAACACTCTGTGCCGTTGCCGCTGCCGCCGTCGGCAGGTGTTTGGGCGGATGCAATCGGGGCAGGGCACGGGGACGATCGGCAAGCTGACCAACGGGCTCATCACGCGGGAACAGTGAGGTCCCTACACGTTTATACCCTTGTTTGTGCAGCAGCGACACCGGCCTGAGCACTGGGCGTGGCAGCGGAGCGGAGTCAGAGGCATCTAGCGGCAGGCGGGGCCCAAGCGACCAAGTCGGACCCCGACGGGTCACAAACCAGCACGCGCAGAACCACGCTCTGCTTTGAACCACGGGCCGAGCGCCGCACGGTCTTCCTAATATCGTGTGTTGGTTTTCCTCGTATTGTCTGCCCCTCCGCAGGTACTACACGCATGCCGTGCAGATGGCGCTGGTGCCCTTCTTGAACCCCGAGCTGTACCCAGGGGTTGCGGGTCCCCTCGAGCCGTGACGGCCGGCCCGCTCAACCCCCCCTGCCGTGCACCTCGGTCGCACTCACCCCCTGGCGCGTCGGGGCGGGGGTGCCAGGCCCTGCCTGGGCCTGAACTGGGGCCGGGTGTGCCAGGCGTCCTGCATTTGTTGCGGAGGGGCATGCACTGGCCCCCGCGCTACCGCCAGCTCTTGCCTGGAACGGCTTGAGGGCGGCAGCAAAATCCTTGCAACACATGGTCCCACGCAGCTCAACACAATCAATCAAAATGGACTGCGGCATCCTTGTGATGCCACCTTTTGTCCATACGAAAGTAGTCTGGCCTTCACCTGAGGCCTGGTGGCAATTTAAGGCAGTGCTCGATCCATTTTCCGGATTTGGCTTGTTCTGCACATGACTGACGGCGCGGCCGCCTTGCGTCCCTTGCGCACCCCCGGACACCTATGCTCGCCGACCCGCGTCCCGTGGCACGCCCATTTTACAAGCCTGGACGCCTTTCGCATCGCACGGCCTTGGGGCCCTGTAACCACCCTGCGCTGGCGGCCTTGTCGGTCCTCCCGCCGCCACCCTAGCTAGTGCGCCACTATCGCCTCCAGCAGCTGCCTCACAGCCAGGTCGCCGCGCAGCACCGCCGCCTTGAGCGCGATCACCCGCTCCTCCGCCGCCTTGAGCTGCGCATGGACGCCGGGGGCCAGGAATGCGGGGAGAAGGGGCATGGGGACGCTCACGTTACCCCGTCTTTTGAGGCCGGCTCGATGCGTGGGGGATCGCCCTGCAAAAGCGCCCGTCGCTATGCTTGCGGGCGGATTGCGTGCGTCACGACACCCAGCAGGCGGCGGCCGCGGGGGCCAGTGGCAGCCAGGAGGGCCGCCTGTCCCGGCCTCAGGTTGCCTTATTGCATGATCAGCCGCGGCCGCAGGTGCGGCAGCATGTGAAAAGCTGCCGCGGTCGGCAGACAAAACGCTGCGGTTGGCATACAAACGTCCCCGCAAAACCTCGAAACACGCTCGCGCGTGCGCGGGCCCCGCCTGCCTGGGCGTCCTTGTCAGCGATCTGCGCCTCGAGGGCCCCCAGGTCCTGCGCGGCGCGCTGCTCCTCTGCCAGGCGCTCCGCGTATGCGCGGCGCTCGGTGGCCCAGAACCTTGGGACATGGGGAGGAAGGTGTTTGTGTGTCTATGTGTGTGAGTGTGTGTGTTTGTTTGTTTTTGAGCGTAAGAGGGAGGGAGTGTGCGTACAAGTGAGTGAGACAGGGAGAGAGTGTGTGCACGTGCGAGTGTTTGTGTGGGTGAGTGACTGCCACGTACGGAGAGAGTGACAATCCAGGTATTTGTGGGTAACTGTTCATAGCATGCCGGCGTGCATGGGTGTCTGGGCTTTCGCGCACAACATCTGAGGGACGTGGTCAACACTCAGCAGCATACGCGTTCCTGCAACCCTGTGTGCTGCACTCAGCTGTGCCCACCTGTGCTCCTTGGCCATGACGTCAGCATCGTCCCTCAGGAACTCGACGTTGCGCGCCAGCGGGGCCGCGGCCTGGCGCAGGGCACACGTGGAATGGTGGATTGGGGCGGCAATCAGGGGCGGCTGCTGGCGCAGAGGCCGGGGCGAGGCGGCTCGGGGCGACTAACATGTGGGAGTCGCGGGGCGAGCCGGCGTGGGCCGCGCATGATGGCTGCCTCGCGGTGCCCACGCGGCGCTCTCGCTCGACCAGCATCCGAGGCGCTGTGAAAAAGTCTGGGCGGCGGTCCTGCAGGCCGAGCGGGCCCCCTGTCCGCACCGCCGAGCCCGCCGAGCCCGTGCTGCTGCCGCTGCAGGCGCCGCCGCCGCCTGCAGCGGCGGCGTCGCCCAGCCGCGACGACGTGGCGAGAAACGCGGCCCACCTGGCACAGCCGCTGCACGGTATCGCGCAGCTGGGAGACGTCGCCGCCGCCGCCCCGGGTGCCGGTCGCGGGCTTGGCCTGGGCCGTTGCAGGGAGTGGGGCGCAGCTGAGCGAGTGCCGGGTGCACGCTCAGAGAAGGACAGCAGCAGCAGCTGCAGCAGCAGCAGCAGCCGCAGCCGCCGCCGCAGCAGCAGGAGGAGCAGCAGCAGCATCAGCATCAGCATCACCTGCACCACCACCACCACCACCACCAGTAACAGCAGCAGCAGCAGGCGTGTGGCAGGCCCTCGGCCCGCCCTATCATCATCAGCAGGCAACGTCGGCCAGGCGCAAGCAGAGGCAAATGCGTATCTGCCCCATGCTGTTGCCCATGAACGGCCTGCGCGCACCTGCCGTTTGAGGATGATGCCAGTACCCTCCTCCTGCTCCCCCACGCCCACCGCTGCCATCGCGCCGGCGCCGGCCGCCTGCGAGAGCCCCGCGCCGCTGGTGTCACGGCTGGCGCAAAGGGACTTGTTCAGCCCGCACGCTCAACGCATTTATGCTCATGCCGTTTGGCTCTTGGGACCCTCACACACACGTCGTTTGCGGGCCCGCAGGCGGCTTGTTTGATTTCCAATGTTGAACACAGGCCTCCAAACACCCCTGCCATCTCCTGGGCACTTTAATGGTAAAGAGCGGCGCCAAGGCGCGAGTATGGAGCCAGGGATGCCGCTAGGCAAGGCAAACGCCCTCCGCCCACCTTGAGCTGCTGCTGTGCCTCAAGAATGTCCCTCACCAGCACCCCCTTCCCGCCTGGCGCCGTCGACCCCGCGGCCGCCGCCGCCGCCGCCGCTGCCTCAGCCGCAGCCGCGGCCCCGCCCAACCCCTCAGCCCCAGGGGCGACCAGGCCGTCATCGTCCTCGTCATCGTCTTCCTGATTATGCCCTGCGCTGCCCCGTGCGGCGCTGGGTTCCCGGTAAATGGGGACTGTGGGCCTTGAGGCGGCCGGCGGCGGCTGCTGCTGCTGCTGCTGCTGCTGCTGCTGCCGTTGCTGCGTCGGGGGCGCCAGCAGGGACTGCTCCTGGCTGCGGGCGCTGGAAGTCGAGCGGGCGCTGCCGGCCTTGGGCGGGCTGCGACCACAAGCGATGCAGCACGGGGAGGTCGCGCGCACTAGAGTCAGGGATCAGGCGCGACAGTGATCCAAAGAGCAGAGAGTCGTTGAGAGGACCCTCTCGGTCGTGTGAGTGACACTTTTAAAGAGTGCCACACAAAGCTCAGCGCATCGTGGTTCCCTGAAGGGCTTGCTGTCGGCTCCGCGGACGCCCCTGCGCGCGGGGGTGAGACCAGCACCAGTCCCAGCCAGGGCCGCGGGCGCACCTGCCAGGGGTGGGCACCTTTGGGGGCGCCTTTTTCGCAGACTGCGGACGCCCCTGGCGCGCCGCTGACTGCGGCCTCACCGCCGCCGGCCCGGGCAGTGCTGTCGCCGCCGCAGCAGCAGCTTCCCCCCGCCGGTCCCCCTCCGGCCGCTCCCCGCGGGCGCCCCCGCGGCCTGTGCTGCCCGCGCTGGCGCTGTCCACCGGGACCGAGGCCGCGGCGACGGCGGCGGGCTGCGGGGCCGGCTCTGCCGCCTGCTGCGGGCCGCCCCTTGCGGCCGCCTCCCGGGACGTGCAACGGCTGGCGGGCCGCGCCTGCTCCTCCCAGCCGCCCGACGGATGTTGCTGCTGCTGCTGCTGCTGCTGCTGCTGCTGCTGCTGCTGCTGCTGCAATGGGGGTGGTCCGCCACTGCCCAGCACACGCTGTCGTTGGGGTTTGAGCAGGTGCAGGGACTCAAACAGAATGCATCTACGGGCGAGCTTCCATCAGACACTCTACCAATTCCAAGCGGCCGGCATTCGCAAAGCTCATGAGCACACCGCGAGCGCGACACATCAACAGCCCCTCCCTCGACAAACACAGCAGGGATCCCATCAAGCCATGCGCCACGAAGCCGCGTGCGCGGCGCGCAGACCTGCACCGCCTCGGCGCCGTCGCTGGCGGCGGCCGCGCGGCCGAGCATCTGCAGCAGCACGTTAGTGAACTCCGGCTCCAGCCCCGCCACGATCTGCGGCGCGATCAGGGACGTGGGGGCGGCGATGCATCACTCCAAGCCGGCTGGTGCAGTAAATACGCGGTCGGAGGACATGGCTCCGATACGTGCCTGCACGCAGGGCAGCGCCCCTTCATTCCCGAACGCCCCCCCCCCCCCAAACCCAAGCC